GTGGGAATGGAGGGATGCAAGGAGCCCCTGGCGTGTGCAGATTGGCCGACAAAAGCAAGGAAAAGTGCAGCCCTCCAGTAAGAGAAGTCAGGTAAACGAACAGCAACTCCACAAAGTACATTCTAATGTATAAATCCAGACCCCCAGCCTGCTAAGAGCTCTGTGCAGAGCGGGGGTAAAGCAAAGGAGGCACATTCTCCTCCCTGCAAGTGGAGAGAAACTTAGAAAATAAACTCCACACTGCAGATGGGCTGGCTCTTCCGCTTCCACCTTTGGGTGGTGACTCATATTTCACCAGTGGTAGAAGGTACCTCTCATGGATCCCCTCCTCTGCAAGCTTCAGTGTGGGCAGGGGGAGAAGAGAAGGGGACACCTAACTCCCTCCCCTCATTCAGAATACACCCTGCGTGTGTGTGTGTAGCGTTACCTCCGGGCGGCCTCTTGCAGTTTCACGGGTTGTTTGGCACTGAGGTAAATCAGACAGGCATCTGCTACTTTATTCAGGTCACTCTCGCCTGCAGAAATGGGACAGAAAGGAACAGCAGGACATAACTGACACTGGTTAATGGGATCTCGCAGGCTAAGCCAGAGCTCTTCCTACCCACCCCCTAGAGAGGCCTGCTCCATAGCGAGGAAAACATCAAGACAGGAAAGGAGCTCTCAGCCCTGCAAACTCGCCTCTCCTCCCCCACAAGGCCGGGGACGCCCAGTGTACTGCAGCATGCTGCAGAAATCTACCAGAATAGAAGGGTTATCCATGGAGTCGTCCCAAAACGAGACCGGCTCATTGAGTTTGGGAAGGATGTCTGGATTCCAGCTCTGAATTTTGGTTAGTTCAGAGAGCCGCATGGCTTGGCCCCAGACCTGGTTGCCAGGGCTCTGGGGTTCTAATCCCCTTGTGACACCTTCTTGCCAGGTCAGAGAGAGACAGGCTGACAAGGGGGGAGAAGGACCAGCAGTCAGATCCTGAACCAGGTCCTAGGAGCCCTCCTCACCCCTTCGTCTCCCAGGGAGTCGAGGGCACCAGCCCCTCCGTGTTGAGCTCTGACAGGGAGAGGTGAATGCTGAGACATGGCTGGAATAGGCGGAGCTGGAGTAAGGCTGGAGAATGGGCAGAAAATTAATCCCACATGACAGGGACAGAGCATGGGCTTTCCTAGCCGCTGTGAAGAGCGACGGATGAGGCCTGCTGAGCAGAGGGACAAAGATCAGAGACAGGAGGGCAAGGCTGGGCAGAGATCTGACAGCCGACCTCGTCCTTCCCTGGTACTCACCCAAGTCCAGTTTCTCACACAGCGAACCCAGCCCCTGCAGCACGGCCAGCTGTAACTTGAAGGCAAGAGTATGGCTGTACATGGGTCCGGCACTGGCACTGACTGGAGCCTGGGTGACAAGGGAACCGGCCAGCTTGGGCAGGACATCTTTGGAGAATCGTCGCCTCAGGAAATCGCCACACTTCTCGGCCAGGGTACATAGCACCTAGCAAAGAAACCCCACTGAGCCCGTGGTTACTGGGAGGGGAGCTCAGCGGTGCGCAGGGGCAGAGTGGGAACGCACAACTCAGCAACACCCTCAGCGAGCAGGAGAACGGGGAGTTCATCCCTGGATCGCGGCCTGTCATTATTACAGCAACCTGCTGGCTGTATTCCCAGTGTAGAACTGAGCGGGGAGAAAGGAGGGATTTGTGCTTCAAACGTGGGGCTGGCAGAGCCGGGTCCCACCCCTGGAGTCCCTGTTACTTTGGGCAAATCACATAACCTTCTCCATCCCTCAGTTTCCTCATCTGCAGTTAGGTGATCGCTGTCTTAGCACACAAGTGGGTCGTGAGGCTTAATTCAAAACTGCCAGGACCTCGGAGATCAGATAAAAGACACCAAACTGCCATCATCACAAAAACAGTCCGCACTGCCAGCAAGCAAAGGGGAGCTAAGGCCAACTGCACACAGGCAGTGAACGGACGAGTTTGAGAGTTACGAACAGGAAGATGACGTAACTCATCCCTAGAGAGTGGGGTGGAAAACGTATCCGTGCTGGGGTCCTCAGCCTGGGCTCAGCTTGTAGAACTGGGGTCCTGCATTGGGCATGGTCCAGTTATGCCTCACTGCAGCATTGTCTATCTTCTGTAATTTAAAAGGACACTTTCAAAGGATTTTTCGTATTTTTTTAAAAAAACCCTCCCTGCTGCTTATAATCATCCCTTGAATAACTGAAAAGGAAATCTGTTCCGTACAGCGATTTGTCTCTTCCTTTACCCAGGCACCCGGGGAGTTTATCATAGGGCAGCTCTGAAATTCTAGGGTGCTGGCTGGAGGCTTTGTCACTGCAAAGGCTTCATACTCCTCCTCAGCCTGGATGGAAAAGAAGGTAAGTTAGCCTGGGGAGCTGGTGACCTTGCGGGTATCCTCATAAATGGATGTTTTACTGCCTGGCTTCCCTGGAGCCGGGCGCTGCTTG